TTGCTCTGTCCCTCTCTGGTCAAATTAAATAAAGTTAAATAAAATAATTCTCAAAGAAAAAAAAAGGTAGAACATAGTATTTTGAGAATATGGTACTCTTTGTTGAGAAAGATCCTGAAAAATCTATTGTCTTAGAAGCAGAGCTTGAGATAGGCATTAGGTGTTATTTTTTTTGAGGACGCGCACTTCAAGAAAAACCTGTGGGGCTGGACATTGGTGCAGCAGTGAACTGTGACATTCTGGAAGGCAGATGTACGTGGAAAGGTTCGGGTTTCACATCAAGTGACCTTCCCGAAAATGGTGGGCACGCACGCATGTGCCCACTATCTGGAGCCAGGCCGAGAGCGGATCGTGGCATCAGGACCCTGCTGGGGGCTGTCTTTTTCACTCATGAGAGAAATAAGTACACTTGAGTACTTTAAGGAGAACCTAAAACGAGGCCAGCGGATGGCATAGCAGTTACATCACTGGGCTCTCACGCGGCTGATCACAGTTCAAGGCCCAGACCCAGTGGCTTGAAACTCATGCTGGGCACATGTGCGTGCATGCTCGTGATTCGGGTAAGAGAATGGAGGAAAAGGGACTGCAGTGTGTTCACCCCCCCGGGGGGGCGTGATTTCTCACTCCCTCTTAATGTCTGTCTGTCTGTCTGTCTCTCTCTCTCTCTGGCAAGGGCAAGTGCACGTGTCCTAAGGCAAACCCCTCAAGAAGAAAAAAAAAGCTTATAAAAGGAGTGAAGCAGAGGAGGGGAAGGAAAAAATGTTGAGCAGGGACAGTCTTTTTATTTTGGAGTGACTTTTGTTACAGGGTGTGTGTCTTGCTAGAAATGGCCATGCCACAATCCCTTCTCTATTCTCTCAGGATTTGGGGTACACACAGGTACCCGACATGAGTTTTAAACCACTGGATCCGGGACTTAAACTGTGGTCAACTATGTGGTAGTCCACTGATGTAACCATTACATCAGAGGCAAAGTCTTAGCTCGCCATGGCCTGATCCACTGGGGAAGGGCCCTGGGACATAAATCACACTACAAGATCTAACGAGCCTTTTGTACCCTGTGTACAGTCGTTAGAGAGCCGGAGTAAATTCCCACGTTAGGGCATCTGCCTTTTCCTTCAAGATCTGGGCTGAACACCAAAATAACATCTACACCTGGGAAAGACAGATTTGTATGATCTGTCATTGCCCAGGGAGAGGAAATAATCACTTTTTTTTTTTTTAGAATTATTTATTTGTTCTTATTATTTCTTAATTTGGCCAGAGAGAGAAAGGGAAATTGAGAGTGCAAGCCACCAGGTCTAGGACTCAAACCACAGCCATGCCGGAGTCCAGCACCCTAACCACCATGCCACCTGCCAGCCCCAGAGGAAGTAATGATTTTAACAATTTGCCGCCTTGCAAAGAGAGCTGGACCTGGAAGTCAACCTTCATCACTTTTAATACAGGAGGATCAGGGGACATGACCTCTGAGCTTTCTGGCCAGGACCAGCTACATCATTTGGGGCTCAGTGCAAAATTACAATGTAGGGCCCCTTGTTTAAGGGTTGTAACTTCAAGATGGCATCAGAAGAACATTAAGCCAAGTCCAAGGTCTGAGCGTGGGGCCCTGTGTCACTGCATCAACTGTTCACCCTGACAGGGATTGCAGGCTCTGAGATCAAGGGACTGCAGCAGAGAGCCAGCGCAGTCTGCTGAGGGCAGAGGACAGGTGGCCCCGGAGCTCGATGCCATGGAGACCAGGACAGTGAGAGCTTGCACACAGGAGAGAGTGGGATGGTGAGCCTGGAAAGAATGTGGGTCTCCGGGTGCCTGTGGAGTCTGGCCTGTCAATCGAGCCATCTAGCCACCGAATCGTGTGCACACGGTGCACGTGAGAGCGGGGAGAGGGGCTAAAATAGAAGAAACCCGCAAAGCGCTTGGCAGGAGTCGGAAGAGAGAGGCCCGTTCTGCCCACTCTTGCTGGACCAGAGATGAGGTGAAGGTAAGCGCCGATCTGGGGACTTGAACTCCAGGTTGCGGATTCTGAAGTTTGCGGTGCGGGTGGGCACAGCAGACACCGTAAATGTGAAGAGTGGAGGGGCGACACAGTCGGACTTGGGCTTCCAGAAACCTGATGACCCTAAAGTGAAAAGCAGCTGGGACGCGAGCTGCGGGCGACGCCGAGTCACAAGCGCAGGCCTCCGCGGGGGCGTGTCC